GTATTCTTGTCATCTCAGGGAAAAATTGCTGCTAGTGAAGAACCTGAGGTTGGAGAGAATAATCATGACCAGGAACCTATGGGACAACATTTGGACCCTTTAGAGAAACTTGAGAATGGCACTGCAGAAATCGGTTCTAATAATTTGCAGAAGCAAACAAATAATATCGAAATAACTACATCTGCTGCACCTGATCCAGTTGGAGATGTGAGTTCTTGTTGGAAGATGGTATTACATGATGAGAGTGGTCAGTACTATTACTGGAATATTGCCACGGGTGAAACGTCATGGGAAGTACCAGATGTTTTGGCCCAGGCAAGTGTTACGACAACAGAGAAAGAAATTGAAGACACTGAAAGGAAAGTGGATGGTGCGATTGGCCCATGCAAATTTAGAACATCGTTAGATATGGATGAAGGTGATATGGCTTCTAAGAAACTTTCCATGACCGATACCAGTGACCTTGCTGATCAAGGGACGAATATAGATGGATCCATTGAGGGAATAGAAGGTGAATCTGTTGAAGATAAAGAATGCAACAGAGGTGTGAGCCAAAGCAGTGAAATTTCCTTGCCTGATAGACATTCTGTGGAAAGAAACAGTAGGGACGACTCGTCTGATCCTTCTTTGGAGCTGATAGAGAACTGTGAAAGCCTATTAGAGAGACTGAAGTCTGTGAAAGGGTACTCGAAATGGCTGGTTTCCCTCTCCCCATACCTGGAATTTTTTATTATAATTTCAGTTAGAACTATATTCGCAGAAGCACAAGAGTGCTATTTCCTTATATAAATGATGATACGTGCTCGTCAACTCCTTTTCCCCTCATGTTGTTTTTGTCACTGATTTTTAGTTTCCTTTTCTTTCTCTTTCTCCTCCCCTTGCATCTACCTTTTCAGGTTGAATGGCCTTCTAGAAGGTGGAGATCTTAAAATGAAGTACACAGTGGAAATTGAGACAAGACTGGCTGACATTAAGGCATTAGCATGTCATGGATTATCCTTACTGCCATTCTGGCTGCATTCTGAGGGTCAGATTAAACAACTTGAAGCTGCTGTAGATGGTATCGTGCAATCTTGCCACTCCAAAGCCTTGGGTGAGTCTGGGACTGCATTAGGATCATGTGAAGGAATCGATGGTGAAACTGAAACTGGCCTAAGTGAAAAGAAGGCAAATCATGAAGCTAAAACTGATATAGCTACTACCATCGGATGTGTATCCACCGACAAGGAAATGGGTGGAAAAAATGAAATAACAGGAAATGTAGTAGAGGAGAACGAATTATCCTCTAGACCTGCCCTTCATTCTGCTGAGGATGTTGACATGGATGTTGACATGGAAGTCGATGATACATCTTCTGTTAAGTGCCCGCATGGAGGTGCATCTGATGCTCATAATCTTGCGTCGACTGCTCAACCGAACATGCACCATACACTTGCAGACCAGTCATCCTTAGCGCCAGGGCAAGAACCTGTTCAAGAGTGGATTCCACCACCACCACCCCCAGATGATGAACCCTTTCCTCCCCCACCTCCTGATGATGATGATCCTTTCCCTCCTCCACCTCCAGACGAGCCTCCAGAATCTTCATATCCTTCGGTATCTCATTTGGGTTCAGTTCAACCATTAACTTACCCAGAACAGTATACTCTATCATACCCTGTTTCTAATCTTGGATATTATGGGCAAACAACCCTTCAAATTCCGGGCACTGCTCCATATACGCACCCTGAGGCAGGTCAGTTAGCTGTTGCCCACTTACCACATTACTATGAAGCAGCTACAAACATTTATGCCGTTGCTCCTCCAGTGGCCAACCCTGTTGGGCTTACAACATACTATGGCCTTCAAAATGGAACCGTGAATCCTGTTCCGCTAGCTAATGGTGTTACTGAGTCTTCAGGCACTGGTGAGCCTGCTTCGGAAGCTATGGGCCCTGGTAAAACGGTAACCATGGATTACCATCCAGAAGCTGGGTCCAATTTGCTGCTAGAGACTAATCTTAGTGTTACCAAGTCAGGTGATACCGTGGTTAAGGCCCCTTCTGAGGAAGCATATTTCTCTACTGGAGCTCCGGAAACTTCCTCAGTTGTGAATGGTGTTTCTGTCCCATCAACATCTGACACCACTGCATCGATTCCTACTGCTGCGGCTTCTGCCTCTTCTAAATCTCAATCTAAAGGTAATAGCTGTAAGGCACATTTTATTCTTGATTCTTGGGAACAACTTATTTTAGCCAATGTTTATAACTGAAACTGGAAGGTTTTGCTTATTAACATGTAATATTGTTTTCTTTTCGTGTAATTTTTTGGTCGGCATCTGATGTGTATTTGTCTTTTCCCCCATTATCATTCTCAGTGCTGCGTGGCAAGAAACGGACTGTTGCGGTGGCAACCACATTGAGATCTAACAAAAAAGTTTCCAGTCTGGTGGACAAGGTTATTATCTTCAGTTCATTTCATATGGTTAGGTAGATTTTGATTTCTTGTGTTCTCATGTTTCTCACAATTGTGTTTGTACCTTTCGATCAGTGGAAAGCAGCAAAAGAGGAGCTGCAGGAGAAGGAAGAAGAACCTGAAGACGCTTATGAAATCCTAGAGAGGAAAAGGAAAAGGGAAATAGAGGTTTGTATACGTGGCTGATGATCTGTTCGTTGCTACTTCTTAACCCGTGTTTTAACTTCCTTACTAATGCAGGCGTGGCGAGCACAACAAATTGCTAGTGGGGAAGCCAAAGAGAATGCTAATTTTCAGCCGTTGGGTGGTGATTGGTATTGATCCTATAAATCTAGTATTTATTATTCTAAATTTGATTGTTATAAATTAGACTTCTGCAGTATCTTCAACAGCTGGGAAACCCTTTGACCACCTTGCAGGCGAGAACGAGTGAGGCGTAAGAGGGCCGAAAGGATGAAGGAAAGCGAACAAAATTCACCAGATGTTGCTACAGATGGAAATCAGAAACCTGATCTAGTGGAACTATCTAAAGGTCTTCCATCTGGATGGCAGGTAAAGTGTTGAACCCCTTTTCTATGAGAAAGAGGTGGCAAGTGATTGGAGAAAATAAATTAGTTGGTATCCATATGTCAAGAGGTAGTTTTCATAAATATATGCCGTGTGGGTTTTGAAAATAGTTATTTGTGTGTTATAAATGTAAAGCATCATCATGCTTACTTGTCCATTCTCTCTGTAAGTTTGGCCTGTGAAAGCTAAAGGACGAGATAATTGGATTCTCTTGACCGAGTGGTTTGAGAAAATTCTAGCGTCGATTAGCTATGAAAAACTTGGGAGTATTATATGCAATTTGTATCATTATATGCCACTCCAAGAAAATATTAATTCCATGTACCGTTCCCTTAAAATATTGATGCTATGATTTGAAAAGTTCTTTTGTTTTTTGTTTTATTTGTTTTGTTTTGTTTTGTTTCGATTATTATACATGTGTTAAAGAACCAGTGAGAAACTCTATCCAAACTTGTATATATGGGACAATTTTGAAATATAGGATAGCAAATACTGTTGCCCTTAAGCTATCACATTTTTGGCTTTTACTCGTGTTTTCTTGCGGGTGGGAAATGTCTGCTCCTCATTGGCTGAAGGATATCTTGTTTCTTTAATCTGAACACAATCTTCTCTTTGTCTTCTTTAAACTTTACCACAAACAGATGCTATTCAAAATTAGTTTTTGGTTGCCGAAAACTATATCAAGGCTTCCTGTTTTTTCTACCTTTTCCTCTAAGGTCACCTTGCCCATTTGTAGCATCTTTTGTTTTCCCATGAAGCCTTTTTCTGCCTTTTTATACCTTCTCAGCTTTTAATTCATCTTTATGGGAAAATTGATTTGATTAGAAAAACATGATGTTTTTTGGGCTTCCTTGTCCTCTTTATCAGGTTTATTGGGATGATTCTTCGAAGCAAGTCTACTATGGAAATGTGCGGACATCAGAAACAACCTGGACTAGGCCCACCTGATTAGAACAGAGATTGTACGACTCAAGTTTTATCTGTGGCTGTAGAGTTTTTAGCTGAGTACATATAATTTTGGGTGGCCGTATTTTCTCCGTGACATCATTGTCATCCTGGTAAACGTTAATGGAGTGTGACGAATACTATTGTACTAAATTTATTTTGATACTTCGATTAATAGCAGTTTGCACCAGATTTGGTCGAGTTTTTGTGTTTGATAATCTTATATCTTTTTAAAATGGTCTCCAAGTTTTCGTTTCCTATGTTAATTGTGGTGCCCGTCTATGCAGGAAATCTCATTCCGTTGTGAAATCTATGGTTTAGGGCATCCGCATATTGGTGCCATTTATACACAATTAAATGGAATGTGAGGCCACTGATACCAATGTGGCTTATTCATTTGAATGAAAATAGTGCTACATATACCATTCATTCCTTTTTAATGACATTTGATTTGATAGATATTTTGTGAGCCGGACATGCAATTTGTTATATATTTAAATGAATTATCAATGTGGCTGTTTGTTTAAATGGTGAATTGATAATGTAGACATGATGTGTTTAAATGGAATGATGTTTAGTGAATTGATAATGTAGATTGTAGACATGATGTGGAAGATAGAGTGTATCATTGAGGTAATTTTCTCAAAGAGAAACTTATCCAAGACTAAGGGATGAACAAACAAACCACTTTCAGATATAGTGCAATAAAATTGAAAAATGCTACAAGTACATAATAAATGTGCATAGAGGTATGCCATCAACTTGATTTTTTATTTTTGGAGTCCCACTCAATGTTAGTATTATGTATATCCATATGTGCAATATTATGTACTTATAGCATTTTGCATAAAATATATCCCATTAAAGTGTGGTTGTTTGATCATTGATATCATGTCATTTGGTAGTGTTTATTTTGTTGGCAAAAATCCATAAAATAGTTCAAGTCAAGCCTGGCGAATCTCCCACCAATTCTTAATACCCCCATTTGTGGGACACCAATACCATGATTCATGCATTAAGTTACAAAATGGTAAAATTACGAAAATGTCCCCGGATTCAATTTTCTCACTTCGAGCCGGCCAAACTTGTGAACTTCAAATCTGAAAATAATTTTTTGCACCTGTCTCTCTCGCCAAGCCTTGAAACAAGTTTATATGTCGAGTTTTATGGATAATTTCTTCAATTACGTTTAAAAGTAAAATGTTGTCCAAAAGTCAAATCACTTTTCCGGAGTTGCACAGTGAGAAAAGAGGAAAACTAATTGCAGCAGGAATAAAAAGCTACAATCAAGCACATTATTATTAAGTTATTGAGTCACTTTAGAAGGGAATATGTCCAGGGAAACGCATTTATGATACAACCATGCCCAGTAACAAAAACTAACCAAACCCACCCTTACCGTTCATTATTAATACTTCATACACATCAATTGTATTCAACAGAATAAGAAAATTACACAAAAATTTGTATAGAAAAAGATGCCATAGTAGAAGTGCAATCACCCCTTTTCCCTAGGAAGACACGAACCAGATAAAAGGGGCTTTTGTTTTTGGAATAGACGGCATTTAATAAACAGTCGCTACCCCCTGGTATGTGCCGCTTTCCTAATCAAAAGATAGGAGAGCACCCCTTCTCCCGAAGTTACGGGGTCATTTTGCCGAGTTCCTTCGACATGGTTCTCTCAAGCGCCCTAGTATACTCTACTTGTTCACCTGTGTCGGTTTGGGGTACGGTCAGTGGATAAAGAATTACACTCAAAATATTTTTCTTCTTCATTTCTGTCTAACAATTAACAAACAAATTTCGATGTTTCATGTACAAGGAGTGTGCAGATATCTACCGACCAGCGCCTGCCAATCAACACTTCCTCCCACGAGCCAAAATCCAAGCGATTATACAATCCCTATGAAGCAGTTAATAAAAATACAGCTCGAACCTCAAATTACCTATTCGCTTTTGTCCTCGGCTCCTTCAAGAACAAACTCCACGTACAAATCCTTGAGAGCGATCACAACAGTCGTCATCAGTGGCCCCATTATTGCTCCCTGAAAAGTATTTGCGAATAAATTCCTCAACTCATAACAAGAGTAGTATTAACCATATCGACACAACAAGTTCAGCCACAAAAGGATTATTTTGCTAAACAGCGAGAAGTTAATATAGCTTGATTCTGACAAATCACTCATTTTCCATCCAATGCATAAAGATTTATCAAATAACAATCAAGGATACAGTCCTGCAGCTGCATATGACCACACAATGGAGCAAATGAAACGGAAGATAACAGAACAATGAATTTGTGCACTAGAACGAGATGAAACCAGTGGATTTCATAAGTTTCTACTTTTCAGAAAAAGTTGAGCCACAAAAAGATTCTGCTCACTATCCAGAAAGCAATGCAGCTTAATTCAAATAAATCACTTG